TTTTTTCTGTTTCTTCGTGGGGTCGTGTATGCCGGGTTTTGAGACCACGGGCTCCCCATCTTTCTTTTTTAGAGCTAATGTGAGAAACAACAACAACAAACAACATACGGCTCGCTTTCTCGTGCAACAGAGAAAGAACAAAACTTAGGCTTGTTTGGCATCGGGGACACCAAACCTCAGGGAGCCAACGCCACACCCATCGGGTCTGGACTGCCGCCTCAAATATGTTAACATGTAATCTGTCAACTTGCTCTCTTGCTACATTGCAATCTACTGTCGTCATCGCAGAGGGTATGCATTTCGTGGTCATACGCTAACTGCGCCAACAGAGGTACGTAAAAAGAGCAAGTAAGTCAAGGGTGGAAATCAAAGTATTAACGAACAAGGCGTCTCTTAACACGTAGACTACACTTCAGCGCAACACCACTTCCTAGTGGGTTAAATATCCCCTCCCTGTGCCCGCCCGACATACCCCAACCTGCTTACTGCCAACAATATACTCGCACATCGAAACCATAGAATAATCCCGAGAGTCCTACCGCCCGCTTCTTTGCATGCGTGTACACACCCTTATCTTGAGAAGCCAGCCACTGACTTTAATCAAAAGCAGCCAACCAACTGCTATCGTTCCCTCACGCCAACGCCGCAAACCGACGCAGAGAAACGGAAACCTATTAATAGTGTACCGCGGAGGTGGGAGAGGTTGCCAGCGCGTAGCTCTAGCCTACCACGCACACTTCTTCGTGGGTACACAAACGTACTGTTGTACTTGACGGCGACAAGGAGAAGGATCGCTCAACTGCGTGCCCCCCTTCTGGTTCGCCAAAGAAATACGTGGTAGACCCGGGGTTCCAGATCAAGAGGAGACGGCATTCAACGTACATAAATGGACACAGCAGCAGCAGTAACACCACCACCCCTGAAACCAGAATGGAGGAAAGCATGAGTAATTCGTACCACATGCCATACTCTTCTTGCCTGCGGTGATGCCCGCCCTCCTGGAGATAGATCAACACCCGCCGCGACGACATCATGGCATCTCGCCGACGCTGCGCTACTCCGTGGGGCGACCTCGACGAACGGTGTTTCTACGGCAACAATGAATACACCACCGCGGTGTAGGCACTCCCACAAATCACTCAGACTCGCCGCATAAACATTGCCAGTCTGCCTGCCTGCCTTCCTTCCCAGAAGTGGAAGAAATGAAGGAAGGCGGCAGCGGCCGGAAACTCAAAGAACGAAAGTACACGAGCTAAACAACACGCAACGAAAAAATGCTCCAACTCGACCACTACACACACGAAACAGAAGTTAGGTTTCGCGAGGAAAATGCAGAAGAGAGGAGAAAGGTGTGGTGTGATGGGACAAACTAACACGACGAAGACCCGAAGTATGCACGACACGACCTGAAAAAAGAGTACAAAATTTTAGGCAAATGGCTCCGATACATTGCCCTAACAAAACACTCACAGCCCCCTCGACCGCAGCAAGCACCAGACTTGCACCACCTTCCCAGCCCGGGAAGCTGTTGCTACTACAACTCGAATACCGCACTGTACCCGTTGTTTCGCTCAAATCGCCCAATGCCCCGGTAAAAACGTTTCCACGCAAGCAACGAAAACAACAGCAACACACACAAAAAAAAAAAGATGTAGACTGCTGTACCGACCAAATACCATTGATCTTTTGTCCGCCCCACCCCGGGCGGTCCGCAGGATCGAACAACAACAACACCGACAACAACGAACGCCGCTCGCTTTAGTTAGTGATGAGGCTAAGCGCGAACGTGAGGAGCAGGTTGAAGAACCCGCTGAAGTATACGAGGAGCAGGATGCTGATCACGCAACAGCACACGCACGCGATCTTGGCGCAGATCTTCGGCCCGAATAGCTCCGACCCCATCACGAAGGGGTTCAGGCTGAACCGCAGGCGCCCCGCCGGCGGGGGCAGGAAGGGCTGGCTGTTGGGATCATTGCGGCCGTTGCCGACCGGCTGCAGCTCCGCCTTCTCGATGGGCCAAATCTGGACGCCCATCAAGCACTTGCCCATTTGTTCCTGTGCGTGCGTGCGCGGGGCCGGGGTGGGCGTGTGCACGCGGGGGGGATATGGGTGTGTGTGTACTGGTTTCGGGGGTGGTGTGTGTGTTTGTGTCTTTATTGTTAGCATCGACCGCGCTAATCGGCTGACCAATGAAAAGGCGTCAGTCTCAGTGCGGTTTAAAAACACAAAACACTTCTAAATGTCATTAACTGCTGTGTGTGTTTATTTTCTTTCCCATTAGCATCGACCGCGCTAAACGGCTGACCAATGAAAATACGCCAGTCTCAGTGCGGTTGAAAGCACAAAATGCCTCTTCGGCCATGATCTCAGGGCCCCGTGAGCGTCATGATGTATGTGTGTGCACGCGAGCAGCACACCGCAAGACAAAAGAACAGGAGAGGAGAGGAGGGAACGAGGAAGATGGACAAGAATGACCCAACATCAAAATCCATGCCGAAAAGGGAAGAAACGACGAGAGAAAAAAATCTCTTAGCAGAACAAAAAGAGGGCTGGAATCACGTGTGAGCACATGCAAAAGGGGGAGAGTCCGTCTTAAGACCCAACACCACATGGATCCATCAAGTGCATGTCATAATCATAATGAACCCGCATCCGTAGGCGAGAGCTTTGATAGGCCAAAGCAAAAACCCAACTAGGGCGCCCGACGGAGAAAAGAACAAGAAGAACAGCAATAGCACTGATGCACAAACGCTGTACGGCGCACACGCCGACACATCATTCAGCCCACCAAAAATACCCATTTCAACTTCACTAGAACTCAACCTAGACTTCATGCTGCGGCGTTTCTCAACAAGAAAAACAAATTCAGCCGTCTCTCAGCTACAACGCTAAAACATGCGACGAACGAGCCCGCTCGTACTGATACTCACTTTCTGACCGGTCGCGTAGTTGGTCCTTTCCATGTTAAGCCAATAGCTCTGATGAAAAGGTTTGGGGGGGGGGGGGGGGGGGGGGGGGGCA